CGAGTGTATATATATATATATATATATAGAAAGAAACAAGACGCTGGAAATAGGGTATTGCCTAGTCGGGCATGCATACTTACTTGCTGTGGTTGAGGTTTCTCTGGCACCGAAAATTGCTTTGATAACCGATTGTGTGCCCTGATAACTGATAGCCATGTTATTATTAAGGGCTATTAAAATTCTGATTGAAAATTCATGTCAAAAATATATTTTACTGCAGTTGTAAAACTTCATTTGAGTCTTTACAACTCACAATCGAACCGTTTCTGTTCACCTACATAAATGCACTGAGCCCAGCCAATGGAAGGCATTTCTTGAGATGGCTTCATATGCGACCTCACATTACATTATTCCTTAAGTGAAATATCTACACCGTGAAGGATACAGATTTCGTGCTGATAACGTGGCGTATGCGTAATATATATTCTCTACAGCTACTTTATTGCCGCGTTGCGTCATCTTGTTGCGAATAATTGCTGAGCAATGGATCCCCTATATCATTGACAATCGCATAAGCTTGTCATAAGTTGGCTATAATCAGCTGTTCAAGCTGCACTCTTGGTATTATCTTACAATTTCTACTATCTGTGAACTTAGATAACTCGATCAGATCCAATATATTTTCTTAGACCACAATAATATACTGTCCCAACCTGCGTTCAGATATTTTCAATAATGCTATGCATGATAATATCAATGATAAATAATGACTCAAAAGATTGAAATATTAAAATTGTAACTTGTATGCAATCTGAAAGAATTGAACATTTTTGAACTGGTTTACAATAGAACAGTTCAAGGAGACATAAAGTCATAAAAGTATTTTTATATATATAGATATAATACATGAAATTTTAAATAATGTCCCATAGTTGGATATAAATATAACAATCCCAGTTTCCTTTGTAAAAAGAAAGAGTCGGAATACTTGGCCCGTCTTTCATTAACAAATATCTTGGAAAAGCGCGAGGCAAAGGTGGATATCATCGTGACTTAATTGACGGAACTACAACTGCGATAGGTGAACTATTCTAACTATATACTATTCCGATATTTAATGTTAACTTGATCCGTATGTGACATCCGTATAGACAGTACGTCTCTTACAAACTGCATGCTCAATTTAATATCTGAGATAGACAATAGACTATTTATTTCTGCCTATTGTTAGCTTAGGCATAATAGAACCATCTCCCTTACTTTACTTTTATTTTGGATTTAAAGAAAAATATGCCTAAGTTCGGATTTCGCGTAGGTTTTTATTGCCCGGCAACTTCATTGTCTTTAAAGTATAGCATATGGAATAGTATATGACAGTTTTTAAAAAAAGAGAAGCGAAATCGACGAAAAGTTTCAGATTCTTAAGTTTCTTAACATTCCACAAATTAGTTCACTTGTGATGCCGCATTTAATGTGGGAACAAATGCAAAGGGCAGACCGCAAGAAAGTCAGAGATTTGTAGGGAAATGGTAGGGAAAATAGATGCACGTCTTGCTCTAGTCTCTGAACAGCTTTATGCACAGACGAGAAGCTTTTCGAGCATCATAAATAATAAATTTTGACAAGCATCTAATTTTTAAAAACTCATGCATTTAATTGCGACATTAAAAGCCCGACGAAGCAACACTTAATAAAATAAAAAACGCTCCCCAAAAATGTAGAAGACCTCGAGACGTCTGTGAGTTTGGGGGCCAGAGTTGGGCAAAGCTGGGCATCGTGAGCATGTGTTTGGCTGGGTCCCCTCCCAAATTATGACAAATATTTACAAACACAGCGGGCTAATGCTCCCATTTCAACATGCATATAAATAAGTGTTATGAGCACCCGTTCCCGCCAACTTTGCGTCACAGATTTTTCGCTGATCCCAGAGCCGGCTCTTCCGCTTGAAGCCACAAACAACATACTGTATTACATATTTGTGTCAGCTGGGATCGGGCGCCATCTGCAACACATGGCAACGATTTCAAGAATTACACACTAAATTTAGCCTGCGACTGCTCTGTGTCCCAGCAAGTGGCTCTTCGAGCCGTGCTCCGTCATCCGAGTCACAGCAGCCCATTGCATCGACTACCCAGTCGCTGAAGACTCAATTAGACAATCTCAAATCTGGCTGACATGCAACAGACTGACGCGATTCACTTTAAATGCGTTGGCTCAAATTAATTTGGCGACATTTCTTAACAAAATTTTATCAAAATTTAAGGATTCTTTAAAATATTAAGCAAATTAATACTCTGTAACAGCTTTACTCAGTTTTGCTTATAAATAAAATCATTATTGTTAGCATGGTATTCCTAAAGCTATAAATTAATGACTTTCAGCAAGAGCAAGTGGATTTTTGGAGGGGGTCCCTTTGGAAAATGTAATAGTTTCAGCTTTGAAAGTGAGTTAAAATAATTTGAAATGGATATATTTCTACATTTTGTATAACTTTAGCCACAATAGCGTCGAGAATAGTTGCATTCATTCGGACATCTAGCTGAACAGTACACGAAACGAATATACCCGCTTTCAATTTGTGAACAGACTACGACAATTTTTAATAGTCTGGCAACTCTATCAACTCTATATAGGCTTCTTTACCTTCGACGCAGATTATCAAAAAAAGATCAAGACGAAAGCTTACAACTTGAATGACTGTGCTTAAATACACTTTTGCGACCTTAAAACATTCATTTTGGTTCACGGTTCAAACCCACTCGCTGCCTTGGGATTCGGTTCGTAAAGTTGGTTTTCATATACTTTGATAATTCGTATGAAATACTTATATATTTTTTAATTTATAACTGTCCGTTCTACTGAAAATATTGCATTATGTAAATATTTGCATACGGAAATTAAGAGCTAGATTTTATTTTTAGTCTAGGTTCGAACCGGTTTGGTTCAAAACCGGCTTGCAGCCTTAGTGCATAAGACTCGAGTCAGCATCTTTCTCGCCTTATCTTTCTCTCTATAAATATCTTGCTTTCCTTTTCTGACTTCTTAAGAAAATATACTACTAATACGATCATTTTAACTGGAAAAACGATTGTACAGCATATGATGCTAAATAATTACAATAAAAGTAAAAGGAATTGAGTTTAATTCGATTTCCCAGCCCCTATTACAGCCACTCATTGATTCTATTATAATTGAGCGCTCTTTAAATTTAATTATGATAATAATTGATTTTCAAGCATAAATACATAGGAATATTACATGAAAATGCTTCGGCAATTATAAAAAGAAAACAGCTTGCTTCGATGTTTGCCAAATCCAAATGATTTTCTTCTTCAGTTGGCTTTTCCTTGCCTCACTCTATTTGCTCTGACAGGCAGCTGCCATTGGCTCTTTGGCTTTTAACAATTCAAAGCACTGGCGATCGATTTGCTGGCAACTACGCTTGAATTGGACTGTTGAGCTGTAAGGGATTGCCAAGTGGCAAGTCAAAGTCGCAAAGTTATTGGGTTGGTGAGCGGTAGAGGGGGTGAATGAATTGTGAATGAGGGCACTTGAGTGAGGTGCCGGAAAGCACTTGAAATTAGAAAATGGAACGCAGAAGCGAAAGACAACGGCGATTACAGCACATTGTGTGGCAATCATGATGGCCATGGAGGACCAGCCCAACGGAAAACCAAAGGCGACCCAAACAAACCCCATCGCAAAACCGCCCCGGCCCCGTTCCCGCACGCTGCACGCGGCTATTCCCACACCCTTGGCCCGTGAGTGGCGCATTGATTTGAACGAATCAAAGCGGTATGCGCACTAAAAATACCAACAACAAGCACCAGGGCAATACCAAATCCAGATTAAGCATGACGTTCTGGAAACTGGGCGTAGCCCAAAAAATCAACAGGCTGTCCAACGTGTGCGACCAGGACGGGCAGCAGCTGTCAACGAACTCGATGCGTGAGTGCGAGTGAGCGCGCCTATGCAGCAATGGTGGTGGCCCACACAGACTTCCAGCTGTGATTCCAACTGGAATGCATACTCCAGCTAGCCGTCTCGCTCGCACAAGTCACTGGTGGTGGTGGGTGTCAGACGCTTATCAAAGCAGAGAACGACAGAGCGCGTCGTTCCCGCTGTCGCTGTCGTTGTCGTTGTCGTTGTTTCTGCTTTCTTTCGTCAGTCGCTGTGCTTTGTGGCGCACAGACGGTTCGTTTCGGTGCGGTCGCTCGCTCAGTTCACACATGCTGAATAACTGTAACCGCAACTAAGGCCAACGAGTGCGAGCATTTGTTTTAGTTGTTCTGTTTGCTCTCGCAGCCTCTCGCTGGCGCTAACTACGCTGTTGCTGCCGCTGTTGCTGCCGCTGCCGCTGCCACTGCCGTCGTTGACGTCGCCGTCGCCGTTGGCGTCGACGCCCAACTTGATTTCTTCCAATCTTGGCTGGGAAATCGGAATCGCAACAATTGGAATAGTCGTTGAATTTGCGTGCTGCGATAAGCTAGCACAGCCAGCAGCCCCCTCAGCACCCTTCCAGCTACCAACCCAACCCAGCCCACCACAGCGTGGCGTGGCGTGTCAAGTGCAGGCACTCGCTGCTGCCGCTGCCACTGCCGCTGCCGGTGTCGCAGCCGCCGCTGCTGTTGCTGCTGTTGCTGTTGTTTCAATCAGCCGCCAGATTCACACTCTCAGCTTCAGCGTCAGCCTCAGCTGGCGCCGGCGTCAGCCAGACGCGTTCCATGACTTCCAACTCTGCGCGCCCAGCGACCGACCGTGATTAACTTTTACGGTTTTAGTCCGCTCGATGACGCCGAACACAACAGTTATACAACAGGCCAGCAGCTGCTTGCATGGCTGATAAAAGCCAAAAGAAATCTGTTCCGTAACAGTTGCCTCTGTTGAACGCGCGTGTAAATCCGTTTCCGTTTACCGAGCACCCACATCCGTATCCGCTGCCGTTTTCGCTGCCCATGCCGTCGCGTGTGCCAAGCCAAAGCTTTTAAACGTTTACGAGCACTTATCAAAAAAAAAAAAAAACAAACAAAAAAAAAAAAGAAAAGAAAAGCCAAAAACACAAACAAAAAACTCAACTCATGAACGTTGGCAAGATGCAAGCGCCTGGCCAGCATCAGCATCTGCTGCATCCGGCCGCATCCGCTGGTCCGGCGCCGCCGCCGGCTCAACAGCACCACCTGCCCATCGACTATAGTTTGGGCAACTTTAAGCCCGCCATTGCAGCTGATTTTCCCGGCGGCCCCTTTGGCGCCAGCCCCTCCGCATCCTCCGCATCGCCCTCAACCGCCACGTCAAGCGCCGCGCTGCAGGTGCGCGATCTCAGCACCTTGACCACAATGGCAGCGATACCCTCGCCCACGCAGCTGCTGCACCAGCGCATGCAGCCGGCCCAAATCACGGTGGATGCACATCATCAACAGCTCCAGCAGCAGCAGCAACAATTGCCGCCGGCGGCTACATCGCCACATGATTACGCGCCCATGTCCGCCTTCAAGGCGGTGCTGCCCAAGAAGCGCAACACCGACGGTAAGCTAAAGATACAGATAAGAGAGAATCCTTCAAAAACGTATGCACCTCAGTGAAGTGTCAAAAGAGATGCAAACTACCCGAATAATACATGCTCTTACATATAAGTATAACCCTAGGAACTATTATCCGAAAGCAAAGAAGTCTATACAAATAATTGACTAAATGTTTTTTTTATCTATGTGAATGGTGCGAATGTGGTAGTACATACAAAAAATCTACTCCGGTATCCTCTCTTTGAGTTTTTTCGAAACTTGACACTTGTAATTCGCAACAAGTTAAAGTTTTAAAGAGGCAAAGGCACAGAGGCGTTAGCAAAGTCTGTTTATGATAAAACTGATAGATTCTCGAAAACTCTTAACAAGCATGGACGTTATACCTTGTGGCATATTACCTAGTATTAAATTTTCATTAATCTGATTCTAACCGATTTACTAATACTTAAATATTGACTACATGCGTGCTTCCCTTCGCACTTCCATTACAAATCCACGTACACCTTGCTATTTAAAATACTTCTTATTATGAATAGAATACGATTGATACTTGAATGCGATTGATAATATAATATATATAATAAATATATATTATTTATGAGTTTGAATTCTATTAAATTTATAATATATCCATATATAATGATAATATATACAGTATATATATCCATATATATTTTACAATATAAGTAATACATTTTCTTTATATCTTTATATATTTATGTGTATCTATATATATATAGATATACATATATATACACATATATTTTTTAACTGAATTCAATAACTCTCTTAACTCCCTATAAAGTTAGCATTTAAGCATAAACAGTGATTAGATTTAGTTTGAGCAACTTTGCATCTCAAACATTTGAATGCAATTTTGTTGACTATAATTTCATTTTTACATATGAATAATATCTAGTTAGTTGAGACAAATTTCTTCTCTCACAAAATTCGAAATTTAAATTTAAATTTTAGATATTGTAACTATCTCGATATACAAAGTCCGAACAGGCCCATGAATATTCATATAGATAGTGTCTGAGCTGTCGCAACATTGAAAATATAAAGAAAAATCCAATCAAGTCAAGTGTTACCCTTGAACCTAAGATCAGGCAGACACAATATTTACCTAACAATTTATGCAGATGACAAAAAGAAATAAAGGCGAGGATATACAAAAATAACAAACAAGTGCTCGACTAAGACATACCCTGTCAATCGATTTGATGTAGCTGAGATTTATTGAAAATTTAACCCAAATCAAATCTTTATCTTATTTTACTTGAAAAATTTATAATTCCAATTGGGCTTTGATATACTATATATTAACTATAACTGACTTTTTCACTGAGATATTAAAAGCCCGTAAATATTACATATGCATACAAATATACCCTGTATCGAAAAGAATGCAAGACATATTTTCGGATTACATATGAATATTTTTGTTCACAAAATTTAAAATTTGTATTTATCTTACAAGTAGAAACAGTTGAAACACTTTTACAAAATATAAAATATATAAAACATTATCCAATTAAAATCCATGTCGATTTGTTCAATAAATTGATGAAAATTGAAAAACTTGAGACCTTTTTAGTTTGCCAAAATTATGGCCAGATACATTATTTGGCTTGGCTCTTAGACAAATATGCGTACTAAAGAATGCAACCTCTTATTTATATTTTTTATAAAATTTTTTGTTAACTTGAACCAAATTCTGCTTAATGCCAATGTAGGCAGAGCTTTATCCCATGCTGGCCCGTCTGTAGGTTTTCCCAAATGCCGCATTTCATATTCCCAAGTTAATTAAAAATATTGCCAGATAACGCATGGCAGGGAAATTTTTTCAAAAATTATTTGAATAATGTGTGATTTTAAAATATTGCAATTCTGACAAACGCCAACAGGCACTCGACGTTGGCCAAAAGCCGCCAACGAGCGGGCCCAGAACAATGTCAGATTAATTGAAAAAAATTGTTCTGTGTGCTGTCCAAACGGGCTGGGGCGGGGGCGGGGGACGTTGTGGGGGTGTGGCAGTGCTGAAAATATTCATTATTCCGTTTGTGTGTGTGTGTGTGTGTGTGTGTGCGTGTGTGTGGGGCGCTTAATGTGCAAATCTTCCGTGTGGACATGGCGGACAAATGGATATCGGGGATTGAAAAATCCATAGCGAACCACAGATACGGAAACGAGTGCGCACGGACAAGCCAAACGGACAAACTCATAGATACAGATACAGACAGCAGGCATATGGTGTGTGTATCCGTGTGTGTGTGTGTGAGCGTGTGTGTGTGTGGGTATCTGGTCGTTGTCGTCGCCATCGCAGTTGAATTTCAAATATGAGCATTGAATGAATGAATGAATGAATGAGTGTGCAAGCGCACGGCCATGCTCTGAAACACACACACTCACACACACACACACACACTCGCACACATAGCCAGCGACAAGCGGATTTCATTTACCGGCATTACATGTATCCAGCGGATATGTTTTTAGCTCCGCAGCTTAAGCCCAGCACAGACATGGATATGCCCAAACACACACACACACACACACACACACACACACACACACACACACACACCGTGCTGTGCAGAATTTTCAATTCCGTTTGGCGCGCCACATTTTTTTTTTTTTTTCATTCTCCACTTTCCGTTTTTCCGTTCGCCATTTTCCACATTCTCTATGCGTTTACTTTTCGTGCTGTTGGGTTTTCTCCGAGCTCTTTTTTGTTGCCCTCTCGTGAAAATGAATTTCGCTTTGTTTGTTGAAATATTTTTTGGTAAAATATTGGCGAAGCAGCTTTCCGCAATTTCCTGAGTGTCCCCCATGCGCCGGGCTGACTGATTGGCCACTCCTGTCGAGTTGTCGCCGTTGCACAATCATCGCCAGGATTTTGGATCTTGTGTGCGACCCCTCCCCCACCCCTCCCACCAATAAGTATCACAAAAAATCTCAACGGTTTGCGCAGGAAATGTGATTAAATTCGCTTTAATTTTGTTTGTGTATCATGCGCACTTAGTTTGCGCTCGAGAATTCCGGAAATACACTCAAGCAATTGTTTTCATAGGCAAAAACAAGTTTAAACACTTGAACGAATTTTTGATTAGACTAGTTTCCTTTATGTGTTGAATAAAATACATATATATATTTTGGATAAGGTTTTACTTTCTATATTTAAATTTTTGTTATTCAGTTAAAATTAAGTGTTTAAGCTGAGTTTCTTGTTTCAAAATTCTTAAAAATTGATTGACTATTTACTAAACTAAAATTTGTTCCATACTGTTTTCCGCTTAACTTTGAAGATCTATGAAGATCTATCAGAAATGTAAAAATCCATACATGCATTTAATTCTGGAGCATCCAATTTCTGTTAGATGCATACATATATGCATACATATACATATATACATACATACATTTTTATCATTTCGGAAAAACTCTTAAGTTCTTGTTGGATATCTTTCACAGATCCAAAAGAAAATGATATACGTATTTATAATGTATCAAGAATCCTATTCAAAAGGTTAACTCGTTCTCTTCAATCAGGATTAAGAGATCAATTTATACACTTAAAAGAAAAAGTAAGTTTGAAGAGTAAATTCTAGCTTATAGTTTATTTATAGTTTATTATTAGTTTATTTAAAACTTGTATTAACTTTCACTCTGAAAAATGAAGAACGATTAAATACAGCTGCCACGATCTTTAGATCGTTTACTTCAACAATATATATTCTTAAGCCTGTCGCATTAATTAGCACAGCCTAACCTGGCAAGAGCAAAGGTCATATGCACAAGTAATTTCCGTCTCGATTTCCCATTGAGCAAAGACAACAATTTAAATTGTCGCATGCGCCAAATCAACACCAACCCGAAGTTTTTTAACCCAGCCCAGCCCAGCCCAGCCCGGTCCGGCCTCATTCAATTAATAGAAAAACATAGCAAAACTTTGTCAATGGGTTACGTTTTACCGTAGCGCAAAGTGAGTCACGAATTAAGTTAAATTAAAATTGCCCACGGCTCTCGGACAGTCGCCCCCGACAAACTACTTAAGAGGCAGGCCCAGCTAGGCGATGAGTCGAGCACGAGTCAGAGATCAAATGGTCTAATCAGAGAACCTCACGCACTGATTCATATGGGCTAATGATCAGGGACAACAACAACAACAACAACAGCTGCGCATACTTGCCAAATGATATCAGTGAGAAATGTGATCGGTATTTGGGCATTGATATTGATATATACATATAATTTATGTGCATATGTACAGATTAGATGAGTATGTGGCGTTATGGTTGGGGGCGATATAAATTCTACAATAAATTCTTAAGCCATTTTCAATCACACCAAACAATTGAACGGCGATTCGAATCAATTAAAAGCAATCGAAATATCCTATCGAATATATACATATAAATCGATCCATTGCCATCCGGACGGCACAGAGTCAAGAGCTCTCTAATCAGAGCCAAGTGTTTGGGTGTTTGGCTGTCTAAACGGCCCCAACGGGCCCTACTATCTGGAAAATTTACGCATCGAAAATTGTTGTAAATTAATATAAATAAACACAATATCGAAGCCAGGCCATAGACGACTCCAAGGACCAGCTGCCTTTCTCAACCAGATATCTTAGAGAAAGAACTGTTCGGAACTTGGAAAGGTTTGAAAACTAATTCCCAAAGCAATCACGATGACTGCCTTGTTTATAATCTGAAGTGGTTCAACAATCGAAGCAAAAAGAAATGATTAGCCCTAAGGCTCAACACGTGTATTCATTGTAGGGCATTCACATAGCGACTCGAGCTGAACAGCTATAAAATAAGGCACTACCAATACGCGTACACTGAGAGAAGTCTCTAAATTGTGCTAGTCTTCAATTTGTTTGGATCAGGCCAATTAAGTTATTTTAATTTAAAGAACTTGGATATACATTTTTTTGTTTTACATAAATATATTTTATATTATTTATAATGAATATATACTTTAATTTAATTTAAG